AGTATCTTGTGTCGTTTTGCTGTACCTCTTAATTTATTAAACGTTGGAATAAGAATCTACCAAAAGAAACTTATTTCCGCATTTTTAATATTAGTTAGTTCTAGCATTTGTGGGATCAAATAAGTAGCTATATTTCTGCTTGTAATATTAAAAAAACGGTTAAACTTAAGTGAGTAATAGTTCTATAAAAGGATAATTTCTCCAAGATATCAGGACATGAGAGATGGAAACACGCTGTGCTGCGTCACCGCTCACCTCAGCGATCATCTAGATAACAATGTTCACGTCTCCACGAGCATGTCTATAACTTATCACTACTTACTTTGAATACAGTACATTCGCTGCAACCAGTTCTGCATTGTGCATGCTCTCTTGCTATTTCTTATAAAAAAGTGTATGAAAAGTTCTTTCTTTACAGTTTTTTAATAGAAACGGTAGGTTTGTCCAATTTATTGTGGATTGAAGCTAGATGAACTCGCGTATAGTTTGAAAGGCATTATTTTCTTTTATGATCATTCGTACGTATAGAGTATTAGTGTCGTGCTTAGAGTACCTACTCAAGTTCGGATATACTGATTTATGATGTTTAATGTTAGTGAAGTAAGCCATATAGACTCCTGTGCTGTCCGCCTACGTGGCGCTGAGGCTGACAATAGCCCCACTGCTATAGCAATTAGGCTTAGGTATCAATGAGTTTCTTCAGTATAGTCCAGCATAATTTTAAAACATATTTATACTTATCTAAATTTTAAAGAGTAATTTTATAGGTCCTAAGTTGATGTAAGGTTGTTTTTGTTTACAAATTTTATGTTGTTTCTTTTTTATGGTCTGAGTTTTACAATTGTAATAGTATGTAGTTTATTTTCGTTAAAATAAGCATAGATATAAGCGATTTGGTGTACACTGTGATGCTTATATTTTATTAATAAAGAATTGAATTGAATTTGTTTATTTTTGTTATTTGAAACTAAACAGACACAACATTGGTCAAAAAATTCTTGAGAAATAGAAGTAAAGACCTTGTTGTCCGGAATGTGTGTGTGTGCGTGTCCTATTTCTAATATTTATTGTGTATACTTACTTTCTTGGATCCCTTGTGATTAATATATGTACACTTGTTAGAGTACTTTTATTTTCGCTATGCACATAGCCTGTTGATTTCAGTCTCTCCGAAGTGATTTTGAGTATGCTTTTTAAAATCCGCATCGGCAACACAATTTTACGTTGAAAACGCAATAGTTATTATCTAAATAGGCCTACGATTGCTCTGAACGTAAACGCTGCAGCACTCCGCACCGCCACGAATGCACTTCTGTGGGTACTCCGCATATTTTAAGCTGAGTGCTTACAGTGTTTAAATTCTAAAAGCATAAATACAGTATCCTTTAAATGACAAGCTTTTAAATGTAATGTTTCAAGATTATGATAAAGTTTTATGGTGAATTGTTTAATAAAAAAAAATTAAAGACAACTCCCGCATTAGGAATATATCCTGTATCGCGGGGAACTTTACAAACATACATGAAACGGAAACAAAGAACACCCAGACTCAGAACAACAATTTGTGGAGCACACAAAGTTCCCATGTGGGGATCGAACCCACAACACTCAGCGTGGCTTGACGATCGCTTAAACCACTACGCCATCTGTGCAGTCAGAAATTGTGATAGTTACATTTTTATTATTTTAACAATAATTAACTTTTAAATCAAGGACTCAATCATGATAAATAAACTGTCTTCAGTTCTTAATTTACACTCTTGGGCGTAGAATTTATTCTTAAAAAATAGGGTTTTTGAGGTAACAAATGTAAAAAAAGTCCAGTAAAAATACAAGATCCGACACATAGCAACTTTCTCTTCAAATATAAGTTTTTATCGGTGGAGCTATCGCCACACCACTCCAAGTGACCTATTGACAATATTGGGGTGTGGTAGTTTCTCCTATTTCTACCCCCTCCTTCAACAGCCGTGACCTTCAGAGGCAGATCTCTAGTGGTCAGGTGCATCGAGGTGCCAGGCCTACGTTTGCCCCAGGTAAGACGGAAGCCCTTTTATTTTATAGGCCCGTTGTGGTCCATCCATATCAGTTTGGGATCAGATGAAGTACCTGGGCTTGAGCACTTCCACCTACAGGCTCCGAAGTTGGTGGGCGATGCGTCTGCCCTTGGGTGACTTGCCCTACTTGAGCGGACCAAGCGTCACTATAAGACAGCTGTACACTCCGAAGTCCCCTGTATCCCCGACGTCGTCTAAATGAGTGATTTGAACAGTTTTGTGCTTTAACGGGTAGGCACTAGGAGGGGTGAATGTCTTAAGAAAAGCTGCTCCCGGATTCTGCCTATTTCAGGTACAATATGATCCTCAAAAGACCGAGGCGGTTTTGAATGTTATGATTCTGAGTTAGCTACTAAAATACATGAGGTATTAAATTGTTTTGCATATCTATCTAGTTTTATTTTTTATAATTTGAACTTACTGGTCAAATTCGTATTGTTCAATTTTTTTCAAAACACGAAAAAAAAGTAATTTACGTGGTTGTGATAAAAACTTTATAGGTACAATTATTTCCGACTAGCTGGTGCCCGCGACATCGTTCGCGTGGAATTTGAAAAGCCTTAGTGAGTTCGATTCCCGGACCAGGCAAAATTTTATAGGGTTTTTCTGACAGAAAAAAATAGCCTAAGTTACTTTTTGTATAGACAGCTACTGGGTAGTAAAATATTATCAAAATCGGTCCAGCCGTTTTGAAGATTACCCGGACCAACAGACATACAGACGGACAAAAAGTATTTAAACTGGATTTTAGGCATAGGTATCGTGCAAATAACCGTGTAAGCACGAAAAAAACCTATTATTTTGACATTACAAACAGACACTTCAATTTTTACACGCTTTATATTAGCTTCACTTGTATTTATTTGTATAGATAAGGACAGTACTACAATACTGGTAATATTATTTGTTGTAGAAATTAAGGATAATAAATAAAACAAAACAAAATATTTTCTAAAAAATATAATTTTCATCAATAACATAATTCTATTATACATTATTATTTATATTAAGTTATATTTTTGTATATTAGAAACAGAGTTCGCACAAACTTACACAAAACCATTATTATTCAATTAATATATTAAACCATACATTTTAACTCTTTGGATATCAAAACGCCAGCTTTCGTGGATGGATTAGTTGGTTACTAATTTTCTAGTGTCTATAAATTCATATATATTAGAAAAACCTATTTTATGAAATCTGAACCTCAGATTCTGAAGTGTTCACCTTATATAGAGGATTAGAAAAAAGTGTGGTCATATGTTTATTTTAGGCACGGTTTTAGGTAAAGTTTAAAAAAATATTATCAAAAAAAAAGAACTTATTTTTAACCGACTTCAAAAAGAAGGAGATTATTCATTTGGATGTTTATATGTTTTTTTCTTATGTGTGTTCAGGTATAGCTCCGTCACATGTAGACGGATTTTCAAAATTATTTTTTATTCGAAATGGGTTTATACCGAAATGGTCCCATTTAAATTTCATATAGATCTGATGATGAGTTTCGGAGACAGACAACTCCTCAATAAATGACAGCAAATCAACCGCGATTGCTGCTAGGTTTTTAGAACTCTTTGTTAGTATTGTTTGAAGTCGGTTAAAGTTCTTTTTAAAAAGGATTTATAATCATTATATTTGTCTGTTTACGTAATGGGCTTATTGTTTTTTGATTGTAATCAGACCTATAATGTATAGTGGTTCAGTCACTGTATCGAGTATTTTATAAAAGGAGATTTATTTAATAATTTCATACACATTTTCACAAATTTAACGTGTTCTCATTTGGCAGATTAAATTATTTAAGAGAAACATCGAAAACCTAGTTGTTGTTACAATGTTCAGCTGAAAAACTTAACATAAACATCGAATTGAAATGTTACTAACCGCGAACTGGCAGTAACTGACTGCTCTCAATAGAGCACAAGTCAGAATGTATGTCTATTCGCGTTAAGAAAATAGTGACGTTTTGATTAATTCTAATCTCCACCCTGACCACTACCAAACTACCTGGTTTCAAATCATTAAATTGACCGAGTTGACCGCATACTTTCGAACGAAACGAATTTCTTGGAACCTGAGTGGGCAGAGTTTGATAGATGCGTCACTATATTCTTAAGGTGAATCTACTATTACAACTGACTGCTGTATTGAATCTGAGCGTTGGCAGACACTTGATAATGGTTAACGTTAAAATTAAAATGAATATGTTTTATGATTTTAAAACACCAAACATAATCATTGATGTTATTTTTTATTTGAAGTAGGTATATACTAAACTTATAGTGCATGGTATTTAGTAGGTTTAGTGTAAAATATTGTTATTGCAACACAATAAAGGCCATGTTTATTAATATTAATTGAGTTTATTAAATGCTCTGAACAATTTATTTTTATCATTTGGAAGCATGTTACTAAACAAATTGAACTAAAACTAACTTAAGAGGTGGCATTTTATATCAGTATTAAGCCACAGTCGGTAGTTTTAAAAAGTAAAAGGTTATTATGTAAATATATTTTAATTTTTATTATAATATTAACATAAATATTCGTATTTCCTTTAGGGAACAATTTAGTGTTGCCATGAAGTAAATTATGGGAAGTAAAAAGCCTAAAGGTTAGAAATAATTATTTGGAGAATAAAATTCATTATTTAAAAAAAAGAATTACAATAATAGGGTTGAATTAATACTAACGATATATTGTTACTAACGAAATATTAGGAATTGCATTTTTGTCGGTATGGTGAAATACCTGTAAGAAGTATTTTGTTTATAAATACATATAGGTAGTCGAAAATCAATAAAGGCCGAGTTTATTACATTTTAATAATATAGTTTTATTTCAGTCGTCTACACATCGTAATTATCAATTTAAACGTACACAATATTCACCGTTCGGTGAAAATACTCGTATAGAAGGTTAGGAGGCGTCGGGTGGGCCTCACAGCGCGACCTGCAGCTGCGCGGCGAGCTGCAGCAGCATCTTGAGGCCGGGCAGGAAGCTGGCGGCGGCGGCGAAGTCGGGCCCCTCCGCCAGCGCCGCCGCCGCGCCCAGCGCCCCCGCCGCGTCCCCCCGCGCCGCCCGCGCGCTGCACCCCGCCAGCGACGACAGCGCGCTCTCCGACAGCTGACACACGTCATGTACTCTGTCACTCAGTACCGGACGCTTAGGCCTCGGCCGCACGGCGATATTTTACCGAGCGTTTTTTATATAGAACGCGGTGAAATATCGCTGTGCGAGAAGACCCTTAGCATAACGATAAATATACAAGGTATTACAGCTTTACCTAACTATCGACTCTATACCACGGTAATGTTATCTACCAGTATTCTATCTTAATACGAACGGCCGGAACTCGAGTCATACCTACGCACCTCGAGTTCGGTACACAACCAGTGGCGATTACGAACGATGTGATAGTTTTATAAGCAATAAACGTGCAATTTGTGGAGTTTAAAATTTGATTGAAATAATTACAAGTACTTACATAAAGTACTTATGTACTTAACTACTTACATAAATAAGTGAATTAAACGAAATATCGTTATGAAATGATTATGTTATAAATCCCCCCTTTCGCTGACTCGAGCAGGAGGGACTCCAAGGATAGCAACGCACTTGTGACTTTTGAGTTGCAGGTGTCCATAGGCGGCAGTAATTGCTTACCTTCAGGTACCCGTTTACTTGTTTGCCCCCTTAAACCATAAAAAAATGTAGATACCTACCTAGTAAGATTTACATTATATTTTACTTTTGAAGTAAGATTTTATAATAGATAATCAGAGGTTTTGATTGCTGTAGATTTGTCACACGCGATGCGATGGTGGTCCGTGTGGTGACGGATTAAGAATACAGGGAGTCACCCCCCTTATTTATCCCGTGGGTGTCGTAAGAGACGACTAAGGGAGAAACAACAGAACAACATCGCTGCAGAAAGAAAGAAAACTTGACACAAACCCTATACCAACCCGTCTGGCCAGCGTGGTAGGTATAGTAGGCCAAAACCTGCTTTCTACGGAGAGGCCTATGTCCAGCAGTGGACTATTAAAGGCTGTGGATGAGATGGTAAGGTTTGCAGTGGTTCGACATGATGACCAAAAATATCGTTAGTAGTGGAGTAGCACCGTGCTCTTAGTTGTCAACAACTACTAACAACTCTGTACACCCATATTCTGACTAATAAACGTAAATATAATATAATTACTCGTCAGCTGTTTCTGACATTTTGTTTGAATAGGTAGATATTGAAGTTTGTAAGAATGATTTTTATCGATCACTTCCTATTATTATTTTTGTTAGAGGGGGCAGACGAGCAGACGGGTCACTGACGGAAAGTGACCATCGCCACCCATGAACGTCTGCAACTCAGGAGTCACAAACGCGTTGCCGGCCTTTTAGGAAGGAGTACGCTCTTTTCTTGAAGGTCGTATCGGTCCGGAAATACCGCAGACGATTACCCGTTCCACACAATGTTTTTTTTAAATAAAATTTATAATCTTTGCAATCATTTAACTAGAAATAAACTAAGTAGGTAGACGAAATTAAAATACTGTAGGCGGGCAGCCCTATCGCGTGTTTACGTACCGCGCGGCTGTAGGTAATTGTTTCAAGGACAGGGCCGAGTCACAATACTGTTAAATAACATTACCGTGTCTATCCTAAAGAAATAAATAATAATTTAACACGATAGTCCGATTCCAAACTAGGCAGAGCCTGTACTACGGTAACCAGACTGCTGATAAACATACTTATATTTTGTCAAATACATGCTACTTTTTTTTTAATGTCTACTAGCAACCGAAATTACTAGTATTCCCGTTAACCCCTCCCACTAAGTTAAATTGCCTGTGTTAAGAGTGGGTTCACGTTGGTAGAGTACTGGTCAGGACTTGAACCCACGACCTCTTGATTGCAAGTCCAACGCCTTAACCTCTAGGCTACCGCCGCTTAATTTTTATAGATAAATTACACCCAACACAGATAAAAAAAACACGTTACCTTGTTCTCACGCAGCAAGTCGTACATCGTTTCCAGCCTTTTCTGCACGTCATCTAATTTCCTCTTCATTTGCTGAATAAAAGTATATATTTTATATAAATTACACATATATTGATGTGATTAAATTTTCATATGGATGAGAAAATGACAGTCTCGGAATAAGTGAAGGCGGATTTAAAACAATAATTTTAGGATAACACGTGTAAAAACTACAGTCGATACACTTAAATCATAAAATTATAACGAAATATCATATTACAATAGACAGAAACTTTCTTATGGCATTTACAAAAAAAAATAAAAAAAAATTATATTCCATATGATAAAGCAAAGAAAGACCTCGTAAATAGGTTACCTAAATATGTATATACTCTTCCTGTATTTAATATTAAAACCTTCAAAATTAAATTTGTCATTCGATCCGACCTAAAAGATACTAACACCCCAGAACCCATTTCAAAATCGGCAGGTTGAAAAACACGAGTAGAACGGTGCCGGAGAGGAGATACTGATACGTACGGGGTTGGTGGCCCTGTTGAGGCACTCGGCCCGTAGCGCGTCGAACACGCTCTGCAGCGCGGCGTCGCGCGCCGACAGCGGCGCCTTCGGGGCCTCCACCGGCGCCGGCGACGGGCTCTCCACCTGCGCAGAGCGGACCGGACGTTATCGACCACTGAGTACCGACGTGCAACGAGTAACTCAACCTCAACACACCTGCTGAGGGTAGCCAGATGCCGCGTACTGCTCCTGGAATTGTTCGGGATACGCTTGTTGGCCGTACTGCTGTTGCCCATATTGTTGTTGAGGCGGAAGCTGCTGTTGTTGGCCCGGGAATTGCTGTTGGCCCGGGAACTGTTGTTGGCCCGGGAACTGTTGTTGTCCCGGGAACTGTTGTTGTCCCGGGAACTGTTGTTGACCGGGGTACTGTGCCGCGGGCGCTAATGGGATATGCTGGGGAGGTTCCACGCCGAAAAGAGGGTGTGTGATCGGTGCTTGGGCAGTCACTTCCTGCACTGGCTGGAAGGTTTAAACATTATTTAGAAAATACTATTATGAAAAAAATAAACAACCTGTAAAAGCAAACAATAACATGTTGAACGAGTCTATGTTTTTAAAGTTTTATAGTGATTTTGATTTAGACTAAATGATTATGAACAGTGAACGAACAAAGATCGTTGGTTTTAAAATTATAATAACAACCTAAGGAATCATATTAAAAATAAACTATATCTGTTTAGTAAGTATCACAGCATACTGAATTCACACAACACAATTAATTACACTCTTGAGGACGTGCTAAGTGTTTATTAGTTTGGCTAACAGATCTTAAAACTTTGAAATTATACATGAAATAATTGGTACTAGAAAAAAAGTCGTCACAAAACTGAAGAAAATTTCGTAGTGACTTCAATTGTCACCTCAATAACTGCCACTGATTTTTTATTGGAACTGCAGTATAATAATTATATGGAGCTAATTTTTATTTATTTTATTTTTGGGGTTTTGTACAATTTTTCGACCACATGGTGCCTTAACCAGGTGAAAACACAAATATACCTATAACTATAATTAATATCATTATTAATTACATCGTTGTTAAGCTACTATAAGGAGATGATAAAATTTGGGTGCTTCAGATCTTGGTCAGTACATCACACTTCCACTTAAAGCTGCATTAACTTCACAAACTGCTCGCGGGGTGGCGCCACAATTAATAAAACACATACACTCTTACTAGTCTTGGGTAGTACACGTACGATGTACTGATAGGTACTAGTACTGGGTATTGTACTAAAAGTAATGTTTCCGAAAGGCAGCTGTTAATCGGACATTTTGCACTATTAGTACACCGTGTCAACTTCAAGCCAGTACTAAAACTATCTATTGTTTACTCTGTCTACTAGTGTCTACGTTCGTTCGCTGTGCGACGTACTATTAATGCTCCACTTTATTGTTCTGTATTGGTAAACTTACTACAATACGTTGGGTTGTAAAGTATGAAGGAAAATCAAATAGTATGCTTAAAAATTTAGTGTAAAGTAATCTAAAAAATCGTATTTAAAAGTTAAACTGTTAGGGTTTATGGGATTCAGAAAGGGATAACACATTAAAAATAATCAAGAACTGTTTAATTATTTCTATACTGAAGAAAAGTAACTGCCTAATACAAAGCCATCTATATTAAAAAAAAAACTTTAACACTTTTTTTTTAATTACGTATTTTAATTCATTCAATTATTAGTATTCCGTTTCATTAATGTTGGTAATATCAATACAAACGCTTAAGTTTTCTACTTCTACTAAAACTGTACTAATAGTACTATTACGGTGTACGAATTGTACTAGTACGGTGCGAACCTGCAGATGTCCGATTAAGCACAAGACTAACTCTTACACACTTGTGGCTGTTTATTAACCACCGCCTTGGTTCAATAAATGCGACTGATTAAGCTATACTCAAAGAACAATATAAAACATCTCACTGAAATCAAACCATTGCGATGCTTATGCTACAACGCCATCTATCGGTGCAGGGGCAAAATTTTACTACACCGATTAAAAGTTGTTTGATTACATAGATCGTTCATATGAATTTAAACACTGCATCTACCAAATTTTATTAAAATTCTTTCAACAAAGCTTCAACTTCAGTTTTATTCGTTTTTTTATCTACTATTAAATATTATACATCTTTGATTACATTTGATGCCATTCCCAGTATTTCCAAGTGGTCAAGTGCTGTTATCACGGCTTGCGTACATTAACTAGCAATCACAGACTTCTATGTACACCGGGCATTATTTAGATAATCCTCATAATCATCATCAACAGCCTTTAATAGTCCGCTGCTGGACATCGGCCTCTCCTTAGAAAGGAGGTTTTGGCCTACTGTACCACTCTGGCCAGACGGGTTATTATAGGGTTTGTTTCAAGTTTTTCTTCTCTTTGCAGTGCTGTTGTCCTGCGTAGTTTGCTCCCTTAGTCGGCTCTTACGACATCCACGGGATAAATAGGGGCGTCACCACACGGAAGAATTATAAATCAAAAACAGTGAATTAACCTAGTGAGACCTCATTTGTAAAAAATCATTTAGCCTGTAGGACGTGGTAAATTAATTATTAGTAGATTCATATACATTCTCTACAAACACATTACTCTCACCTAGTAATCCAGTAAAACCGGTTTTAGTTGTATCCATAAATTATTTACCGTATTCAAAATCCGTGAGTGAAAAAAGTTAGTAATCTGTATGGCAGCTTGGTAATTATACTAAACAACCAATGGCATTCGGTTAATTTTGGTCCATTTTTTTATTTTTTAACGAAATGACGATTAGTTTAGATTAACACACAAAATAAATTTATGTTACATAATAAGCTTAGCAAAACGAGGATATTCTTCATTGGGTCCCGGCACAAGTTAAGAAGACAGCAGACATACATTGTCCATAGGACCACGAACTCATAGGGACCGAGTATACCTCGTCTAAATGTCTCCTATGTTCTATAATGTTGTTCCAGCGCCTCGTGCCGGCGTGTTTGGCAGACATTTCCGTCGAACCTAAATGCTGATGAATTTTTCCTTTTTACTACGTCAAATTTAGCTGTGTGTATAACGCAAAACATAATATTTCTTATTTATCTTCGGAGAGCTAATCTAAGAGAATTTTTAACTTTAGTTTATGTTGCAAAGTGTCTGTATCACACATTTTGCAAAAAAATACTGCAACATAAAACATTTTTTTTTTGAAACACTCCAATTATCATGAAGTATGGAAATTAAAAAAAATCTTGAGAATGGAAAAACTAATAAATAAATCATAACTTTATGAACTCTCTAGATATTAAGTAGCAAGACTTGAAAATAAAATCGATGAGCAAACTAGTAATAACGCTAACTTGCGTGTGTGCAGCCAAATAATAAGTGAAAGAAAATGTATTCCTTTAGACTGTTAATTCTTTAATATAAGAAAATGTACTAACCTTTGATTTTGAAGTTATCATTGGTGGGTCATTCCAACCGGGAGCAGCAGGCTTTTGTTGGACTGGCGGAGCCACGGGCTCAGGAGCAGCTTGCACAGGATTGTAATAACCTCCATTCATGGTAGGATTCACTGTGGGGTTCATTGGACCCGGTACTGGGTTCATTTGGCCCGGCAGTGGGTTTATTTGACCAGGGGCTGGGTTCGCAGGGTTATACGCTGGCACGCTAGCTGCGTTGTATGGGTCTGGTACAGGACTGTTGTACCCCGCGTATGTTTGTGAGGCAGGATTGTTGAAGCCATACTGGTTATAATTTGGTGAAGGTTGCACTGAAGGGTCTACTTTGTATTTAGACCGTGATGTAAAGCCACCTGTAGGATTAAAATTTTTGTACTTTACCATTTGTAAAACAGCTAAATTAAGTTTTAACGACCTATAACTACGTACTTACGCCTAGCTATTCTAGACATGAGCAAAGCTTTTGAATTAGTTAATCATAACAAATTAATCTAGAAAATTATATGGCACTGAAAATTTAGCTTTGCAATTAGGAGAAATTAGTCAAAGTCACAAAGCATAAAACGAATAAATAACACAAGCAAATGAAAGACCAATCTCAACTTATTATAAAGTTTTTCAACGTTATTGAAAAGTAGGAGTACTACAAGGAAGTATCCTGGGACCAGCTTTATTTATACTCCAATTAAATAAACGAGACAATAAGATATTTACCTAAATGAACTCTACTCATGAACTTACCAGGTTGCGGTCCTACACTACCAGGCCTTGGCGGTTGAGGAGGCATAGTAGGTTGTAATGGAGTGGGTTGTAGGGGCGCTGGTGGGATTGATGGTATCGCCTGAGGTGGTTGCAAGGGCTGCGGTGGTTGCGAAAAACTGCCGCGGCTAAACGAAGGTTGTTGTGGTGCAGGTACGGAAGCTTGTTGCCATGACTGATCATATGTTGGTTGACCTAGATAAAAAAACATTCAAGCCAACACTATTTAAGAACTATAAGTTTTTTTTTTGGAAATCTATGGCGTTTCTTTCAAAACTTACCAGAGCCATAAACAGGTTCGGAGTGCGCTACGTGTGTTCGTCTATGATGGGTTACACCGAGACGTGGTGTCTGTGCCTGTGGATCCATGAATCAATTATTTAAAAAAAAAAATTTGAACGGTTGGTTAATAAATGATAATTTAAAAAGAAAACGAAAAAATTTGCATTTATAACATTAGATAGGATTATTAAATAAAATATTAAAATGTAGAAAGGTTATAAAATTTAAAATAAACTTCGACTATTTGAAGTGAATATTGAGTGTATATTATAATAAGTGAATAACGAGATTTGAGGAATGAGAAATAAGGCATGGAAGAATTTATGGACAAATTAAATTTATAAGGCGTCGTACATAGCACAAATAGGCATGTCTAAGATCTAATCAATCGACAAATTCGATATTTACCGTGTTCATATAACCGTTTTTTGGCCAAGACAATTTGTCTGAGGAAAGTCGAATTTACACTTACTTGACAGGGCCGTTTAGGTTGTTGTTGCTGTTGCATTAGTCCAAGTGCGTACATCAGGCGATCCCTGAGTTCGGTGTGCTGGATGCCCTCTAAGGTATTCAACGCGCTCTGCAGACATCCCTGTGATGCTAACCGCGACGCATACTCGTTCAGTACAGTTTCTAATTTACCGCCCGCCTGTGGTCAAATATTTCAAAGTAACATTACACGTTAAAATTTATTTATGTATTCCTGGTGATGAATTTAATGACCTAAGTCTAGTTTCAAATCAATTTTTTAAAATTAAATTAAATTTTTGTAAAAAAAATGAAATTGAATTGACTCTATAGGTGTGAAATAAAGATAGATAAATCTCAGGCACCGAGGAGTAGTCGGGCGCTGACTCACCGGCACGTGTCGGCCCCGTGCGAGCGCGGCCCGTCGCGCCAGCAGCGCCAGCTCCGTGAGCTGCGCCAGCGCCGCCACCGGCGCGGGGCGGGGCCGCGCCTGCGCCCAGCGCGCCACCAGCGCCTCCGGGCTCATCGCGCACAGGTAGCAGATCGTCGCCGCCTCCGACAGAGACGGATCCGACTCCTTCGACAGCTTGTCGCCGAGCATTTCTACACATACATATTGTCTTTTATTTTATTTATTCAGCATTTCTAAAGTCCTCGTGTGTCGACATTCTTTTAGACTTTAATTTATCTTCGACTCTGAGATCTCATCGACGTTTTAATAAGGCACTTATTAAAATCAAATCATTTCCGACAGCAATAATATTTCTAAGCTACGGTTAACACGTCTTCGATTGCACTTTTTTGATCGAACAAAATCAACACTTGGACTCTTAACATTTATTTTAATAACCCCTTTATGTGCGCCGCCGTATACGGTAGAAGATGATCAAAAAGAAGATGGGATTGAGCGCTTTTTAAGGGGATAAAAGCTAGAAGGTCAAGAGTGACATTACGAATACGTTACATTAGGCGGAACCTAAATAATGAGATGCGAAGTTAGCACAAATAGTCACCGCAGTAATGCGCGAGCGCCTCCCCGTCGCAGTGCGCGAGCAGCGCGGCGAGCGCGTGGCGCCAGGAGCGCGGCGCGGCGGCGCGCACGAGCAGGTCCCAGCGCGCCAGCAGCAGGCTGCCCGCCACCACGCTCACCGGGTCCTGCGCGCTGCTCGCCAGGTGGTACTTCTGCACCGCGTACAGCAGCTCTTGGCTACCTGCGCGGTTCGTCATGGAACTCACTCACTTATGTTACCATACGATAATGGCGGATAATTTAACAATCATTAAACAGATGGCCACCCGTAACAGTTAAATTCGGGATACACATTTGTCTTATCCTCATAACTGTCCAGAGTTGAAATCATATTAAACTCAGCGTAGCGTAGAGACAAAGCGTTCACTTCAACCATCAAGCTAACCATTTAATCAGTTTTCAACACATATTTTATACGTGTTTTTTTTTTCTGCCAATATGAAGTTTGGCATTTAATATATTGGCTTTCTAACGTCGACTGCGGTATGTTGGGAACAACTAATTTCAGCAGCGCTAGTCATTACTTTTGATTCGTATTTTATGACCCGTCGCGGCGCCGGTCTCATTCATTCTGCCCGGTCCATCACAAGCCGGCCAATGCAAAAACGAAAACTTAACCTTATAAAGTACTCTCTGACGCACAGGAGTTATGGACACATTCACAACAATCACTCACTCATATTACAATCATTCAGAATATCCATGATATATATTATTAGATTATTTTTACTATATTCCTAGAATATTATTACATGGGACTAATCCCACCCACACGCCCACCACTGTAACTCCTGTACACCAGGATCCACAGCAGTGACCCGCGAAGTCCCAGGAAGAAATTAAACTGTCTTGGAACCAGTAACGAAATTAATCAGAAGAAAATTGGAGGAGTTGGAAATACAGTAAAATATTATTATATATGACACAGCAGTAATGGTACCACATCTTCAAGAATATCCGACTTGGGACGGCTCTTTAAACTTATTCCTAACCCTAAAACAAAACCCCACTCCAAAATTGACACTTTTAGATATCACAGAGTACGGAAAACCCCCTACGTTTCAATATTGTAAGTATGTGCTCACAGTCAAGTTGTAGTTTGCTACCTTGTGAGCTACAAGTATGTCGAAGGTAGGTTCCAGATCTTTAGGGTTTAAATCCTTTTTCTTCTTCCTACAGTCCATTCCCTTATATTAACATCTCGAACATCTCTGAGCAGCATGAGCATCTGATGCTTTAACAGCAGAGTGGTAACGATTCCTTAAACTTGTTCGATCACCTCTCTTCGTTGTCCGACTTTGGCGTTCGTCTGATGTACATTCTTTCGTTGCCTTTCCCTGAGTGAGTGAGGTTACCGGTGCCCAAATCCCCCTTCCCGCTGACTCGAGCGGGAGGGACTCTAAGGGCAGCAACGCACCTGTGACTTTTGAGTTGCAGGTGTTCATGCTTACCATCTGGTGACCCGTCTGCTCGTTTGCCTCCTTATACCATAACTAGCTGACCCGCGCAACATCGTCTGCGTCTCTCAATAGTAATAAATTTTCTCCGTTTTTGAAACATTCTTCATTGGTGCTCCGCTCCTATTGGTCTTAGCGTAATGATATATAGCCTATAGCCTTCCTCGATAAATGGACTATATAACACTGAAAGAATTTTTCAAATCGGACCAGTAGTTCCTGAGATTAGCGCGTTCAAACAAACAAACAAACTCTTCAGCTTTATAATATTAGTATAGACTAGCTGACCCGCGCAACATCGTCTGCGTCTCTCAATAGTAATAAGTTTTCTCCGTTTTTGAAACATTCTTCATTGGTGCTCCGCTCCTATTGGTCTTAGCGTGATGATATTTAGCCTATAGCCTTCCTCGATAAATGGGCTATCTAACACTGAAAGAATTTTTCAAATCGGACCAGTAGTTCCTGAGATTAGCGCGTTCAAACAAACAAACAAACTCTTCAGCTTTATAATATTAGTATAGATAAAAAAAACTATCAGTCTCCAAATCTATACAAATAAATAAAATTGGAGTGTCTGTTTGTAATATTAAAATAATCGCTTTTTACTAAATACATATGTATGTTTACACGGTACATATGCCAAAATATCATTTTTTACAATTTTTGTCTGTCTGTCTGTTTGTTCCGGGTGATCTCTGGAACGGCTGGACCGATTTCGACGTGACTTTCACTGGCAGATAGCTGATGACATAAGGAGTAACTTAGGCTACTTTTTTTAGACTAGCTTCGCCCCGCGGCGTTGCCCGCGGTTATAACAACAAACGCGGGTAACACCGCGGGTCTCAGCTAGTATCTAATAAAACATCTAACTTAACATGTATGAGCCACATTTAATTAGCTCAATCAAGTTTCGATTGCTGTATGCTCAGCTACGTAAGTTCAAGTTTGCCAGGTTAGTAATGACGGTACTTAAAAATATTATAATAAAAGAAAATACACTATGTGTTTGAACCCTCTACCTGTTACTTATCATCCTAGATACTGTGGTTTTCACCTCGTTATTGTTAGAAATGAAAAAAACTAGATACACAGTCTACAGGGTCAAATATTATGGGTGGCCTGTTTTTTATGCAATTAATGCGGGTACATTTAAAACCAGTATCTTGTTTAAAATCACGAAAACAGCTGATTAGTCAAATCTGTTTTTGAGCATTTCTGTTTATCTCTTTTCTTATGTCATTTGTTGTGCGACATTTACAATAAAAATTATAGGAATAAAAAATAATGACCATAAGAATTAAATGTAATAATTACCCAAGCTCGCAATGATCAGAGCATCAGCCGTCCTCTTGGCATCTAAACACAGTTCCACCGCTTCTTCCAAGTTACCACACACCAACGCACGACAAATCAAACTTGTTGCATCTGTATACATAAACAGACACATGTAGATATTTAAAGAAAAAGGAATAAACTTAAAAAAAGGCATTAAAAAGTGTATTCCATATATTTTATAAGTATCTATGTATAGGGAAATTAACGGGGTCAGGTGATAAGTATTCCATACTTTGCAAATGCCTGACGTTTCGACCAGGTTTCTGGCCGTGATCACAGGCTGACTGCCTGAGTCAGCTTATGATCACGGCCAGATATGTAATACCTATTACGTGATCGCATTAATATTCATGTACATGCTGATACAAGATCGCTCTTAGAAGAAAGCGAACGCCCCAGGAGACTTCTGTGCTGGAAGGAGTTCGGTTGGGTCACCTAGCAAACGACTCTCCTTCGAGCACAGAACGTCTTCCTGGAGGTAGAAAGATTTTCTTTTTCTAAATAATAGAGGTGCTAATTCTGTTGTTCGCAAACTCTCTAAACTAAACTAAAAATCACTAAAAAAAATGTTGTCCTGTCAAATATTAAGTTTTCAGAATAGGAAACATTGTTTGACAGAACTAAACAAATTTTTAGTGATTTTTAGTTTAGTTTAGAGAGTTTTCGAACAACATAATTAGCACCCATTAATTTACTAAAATAGTTTTAGTACCTTCTCCGTTAGGTATAACCACATTACTGCCGACTGATGTTTCCAAGTCTATGTTCGCTAATTTTCTTTCAATGAGCGTATGTGCGTCCTGCAAACAAAACATTTAAATTTAATTTAAATGCATCAAAACATAATTGATTTTCGAATGAAACCAATAAAAAATTGCGTTTAGTAACATGCTTCATTTTAAATTGCAAAAAAAACTGCATGCAAAGCGACCGAGTTGTATCTTCCCAAGAGGTTTTAGCATGACAGCTGTCAATTATGACAGATGTCAAGTTTAAGCTACTCACCGATAAATCAGTGCTGGTGTCTGTGGACAGTTCTGCTTCCGTTTCCGTAGACTCGCCCTAGCCGCGTTACACAGACAGAGGATTATATAGAGTGTTAGAGCAAGAGCCCGTGACTGCCAGACCTTCCTTTTATAATATAAGCTGAAAGTTTTTCTATGTATACCTTTAGTAAAGGTAAGAACGATCCCCACCCATTATACCTGGGTAGTGGTGGCTTTGGCAGGTAACAGGTAATAAAGGTGTATAAAATTCCATCTTAAATTTATTAATTTATAAAACTTATTTTTTATATATATCTGTTTGTAACAATATCACAACTTACGTCATTCATTACCAGACGCTTAATACGGTTCCAACCCTTCGCCAGACACCCCTAAACTATAATATTTTGTAATTTTACTTACGTTATTTTTTAAAAGCTGAATTTTATATATGTTTTTTGGGGAACTATAAAAAGATGTTTCTTTAGTAGCCAGACACATTCCAGGGTTCTATCATCCTGCCAGACGCATTGGAGTGCATAGAAAATGTGAGAGCGCGGTGCTTATGTACTAACTGGTGCGAGTGAGACAGGCCGTTCGGTTTATTGCGATCTTTTACTGCGCATCAGCTGTCGTTTACTCTGTATTATTCAGTGAACAGTTATATAGTCGTAGTAATAGTAAACATTGTAATATTAAACTGTGTTATTTGGTTGATAAATGTGATCCAGTTTTAATAAATAAATAAATTTTTTATCATGAGTGACGAAAACGTAGAAGAAGTTTGTTTTGTCTGTAAAAAAAGTGGTGAAGATCTAGTAATATTTTCGGAAGAGACTTTTAAAAAATGTCAAACTATTTTAAAATTAAGAAAAATACATAACCTCAAGTATAAAAACATTATTTTACCTGGTGAATATATAGATAATCGTTATCACCGGTCATGTTATAAAGCATTTACAGGTCTCATGAAAAAATACTTCAGTAATGAACCTGTAAGTACTGAAAAAATAAAAAGAAAAAAACAAATAAGCAGTGTGCTAACCGGCAACTCATCTCCAACTTCATCATCAACACTCCAGTCGAGTTCAGTACCACTTGATTTGGAATCTCAAATAAAATCGCAAGAAATTTTACGTTCCCAATCAATCGGAGCACAACCTTCTACATCACAAGATGAATCTTATTTACAGCCTGTACCTACAGAATCTCCCACGACATCACAGGTAAATAAAATTTCTCCACCAAAAAGTCCACAATCTTCAACTCTTCAGGATCATTCTAATTCTTCTGAACCGGATGTTAGTGATAATAATATTTCAATTCAGGACATGATTATTTCGTCGGATAATATTGTTGGTAATAATGACAACGAGATCGTTTGTATTTTTTGTGATAGAAAAAAAAAAAAATTCGATCTAGAATGCTTCCGCTTCATGCAGCTGATGTTGATAAATTTAAAACTAGCATCATTTCCAAGATTGAAGGTCATGAAGAGTATAACGATTTTTTAAATAAATTGAATAATTTTTCTGGCCTAAAATTTTTTTATCATACAGAATGCCGAGTTGGTTTCAATAATAAGTTATCTTCTTTAACAGCACAACCTGACAAAACGGAGTGGCATTACCAACGAAAGTATCACCAAATAGTTTTTGAGGAAATTAGAACAATTATTAACGAAGACGTGATTAAAAAAGGACGCTGCTTTTTATTGGTGTATTTACATGACCTGTATATTGATTTATTACAAAATCGTCTTAAAGAAAATTCTATGGATATGACTGGTATTTTTACAGCACACCATCTTGAAGAGAAAATTCTGAAGATATTTTCTAAGGACATAAAATTTTTTAACATTCGCAATAAGAAAATAATAGCTCCAAAATATCTACAAGCTATAGATGATTCTATTCTAGATAATTTACAAACAGAGAACATTTTACGAAAGTCTGCATTGATTTTAAGAAAATTAATACTCCAAATTGAAAAAAATAAAATACCAACAAAAAAAATAACATCAGAGCATTTAATATCAGGAGAAGTTTCGATACCTCAAGAATTATCAGACTTTTATTTTACCCTTCTTAGTGGATGTAACCGAAATCGAAAAAATAGCCCAAAATGTGCACGTCTTGTTCGTTCTTATTCTCAAGATCTTATTTACGGTGTTCATAATGGTCAAGTTAAGACGTCGAAACATATCATGTTAGGTATCACCCTCAAGAGTTTAACAAGCAGTAGAAAAATAATTGATATTATAAATAGATATGAACACTGCATTAGTTATCAAGGCGTAGAAGAGTTAGAAACTGAAAGCACATATACAACGATAGAAAAATCCAGCGTATGTCCCGAAAAAATAATAAAAAAGCCAAATCTTTGTACGGGTGTGGCATATGATAATTTTGATCGATTTGTCGAAACAACTAGTGGTAAAGATACTTTACACGACACAGTTGGAATTGTATATCAGAATATTGATCTAGATACAAATGAAGAACCTGTGATGTCCGAGATACTGACTGAAAACACCGAGAATATTACGTCGAATATAAGCACAAAAACATTTGAAGAATGTGAGATGCCCGAAGTTCTGAGTGAAAGTACTGAAAATGTTTTGCTGCAGAAGAAAGAAGAAAAAAGACGAAGAAGAACAGTAGATACCGTAGGGTTTGATGAAGTTCCATACACTAAGAAGCCTAAAATGACGAGTGAATTGCAACAAGCGGTCAATGACGTTAACTATGTAGATACCCGAAAATACACTGACATTGACAAAATATGGATGGTTAGCCACGCGCTGGAGTTAACAGATGTACCCATGTGGGTTGGTTTTAATAGTCGGATTGATGATCATGACAGTCCACAACAACTTATATCATATTTGACTCCAATCAATGCATCGCCAACCAGTATATCGGTTGTATTGGAAACTATGAAACAAAGTCAACAAATTGCTGCAGAGGTAAACCAAAGTAACATACAAGTGACTTATGATCTTGCTATAGCAAAAGTTGCGTTACAAATTCAAGCAACGGAGAAGCCAAAATTTGATAATTTATTTATTCATTTGGGACCGTTTCACATAATGATGGCTTACTTCAAAGCTGTTGGTAAAATAATTAGTGATTGTGGATTAACAAATGTGATGGTTGAGAGTAGTATGCTCGCAAATGGTTCAGTTAATGGATTTTTAGATGGTAAACACTTTAATCGCTGCAAAAGATTGCATCCTTTAATGACATTAGGGCTTGAGATATTACATTTCCAATCATTTTTACAAAATAATAATATCACTTTAACTGATGATATAATAGATGAAATTAAAAGGCTTCAAAATTGTAAAATGTCTTTATTTGAAATTGAAAATGAAAATTTGCAAGATCTGATTAATAATTACGGGATTTACAAGCAACAAACCCTTCGTGGAGAGCATTGTAAAACATCACAATTTTATTTAATTTATACCAACCTCATCCATCACTATTTGGATTTATCTCGAAGTGTTCGTACTGGAGATTTTGAACTTTTTAAAACCGTGTTACCTAAAATTACAAATATTTTTTTTATATGTAATCAACAGAACTACTCTAGGTGGGCCGTTAAATACTATGATAATCTACTGAGAGTTGGCGAAACTCATCCCAATTTATATGAAGAGTTTCAAAAAGGTTGCTTTGGAATTAAAAGAACTACTAAGCCATTTTCAAGACAACCTATTGACCTTGTGTTAGAGCAAACGATAAATGCAGACGCTGCGAGAAAGCTTACAGGTATAATACATTTCACGAATTCGATTTCGGCAAGACAACGGTGGGCCCGAAGCCATGACGTGAGATCTACGATAATCAGTCAAGTTTATTTAGAATTAGGACTACAAAGTCATCAAGATGTTTCAGCAGATTTGGCTCTTCATAATATACGGAAAAACAACAATCAGCTGAAAAAATTTGTTGCTACTTTTGATCAATTCATTAATCCTTTCAGTGTAGATGTGCCTAAAGACCAATTAGTAAATATTTCATCAGGGAAGTCCGCATCACCGCCAGTAGAAGAATTTTTGTTAAATGTAGAAGGTAATGGAGAAATCCTTCGAAATGCATTTGTTTCTGAATGTCAATCTAATATACAACGATTTGAAAAAGCTATTAAAAAGACATCTATTAATAATTTCTCCAAAGATTGCGAAAAAAAGAAAAAAATTAATGTTGGTGGGAAAATTCAAGAAGTTAAAATTCAAAGAGATTTATTTGGACGTATGCTAGGAATTTCAATGGATTTCAAGATTGACATTTCGAAAATTTTATCGTACCCCATTACTTCAGTACCATTATCAATGTGCCATTTGGATGGAACCATTTGCAAGACCGACAAATCTGCTTTAATGAAATGTTTAGAGAAAGAAGTTGAGCATGACGAGCCACCTCGAATTGATGTATTCATAATCGACGGGTTTTTTTTATTACACACTATGAGAAATGTACCTAAAACGTTCGGCAACATTTCTAAAAGAATGTTGCAAATGGCAACTCAATTAAAAGCGTCAAGAATTGATGTGGTATTTGACAGGTATTTTACACCATCGATAAAAGACTATGAACATTCCCAACGATTTGAATGTGCACAGTTAGAGTATACCATAGCTGGGCCTGAACAAGTTCGTCCTAGTGACTTCGCGAAAGAATTAAAAAATTCAAATTTATTGAAGCTCTGGTCAACTTTTTCATTTTACATTGGGCTATTGATGAAGTTGCGCCATTTATTGGTAACAAAACAATACATATTAATTTCAAAAATTGCCATTCATTTACTGTTAATAATACCAACAAAGTCATGTCAAGTATTATTGAGGAATTGTCTTGCCCGGAGCATGAAGAAGCAGATACCAAAATTGTGTACCATGCATGTAAAATAAACGATGCAGCAAATATTGTAATACGAACTGTTGATACTGACATTGCTGCTATAATGCTAGGTCATATGCATCATTTAAATGATGGATTGCATGTTTGGATGCTTATAGGCACTGGAAATAATCTAAGATATGTGGACCTAACTAAAATACACGAACAA